CCAGTGGCACACACCTGTAGTCCCAAGTACTTGGGAGGCTAAACCAGGAGGATAGCTTGAGCCCAGGAGTTTGAGGTTGCAGTGAGCTATGATGATGCCACAGCACTCTAGCCTGGGCAACAGAGTGAGACTCTGTCTCAGAAATAAATAAATAAAAAAATAAAAATAAACCCTCTTTCTGGGATGGGTGTTAATAATAAATGACCATAGGCACCTGGCAAATAATGACATACCATGATGACTGAATATTCTGTAGCCATTAAAAATAATTATGAGGCTGGGCATGATGGCTCACACCTGTAATCCCAGCACTTTGGGAGGCTGAGGAGGGAGGATTGCTTGAGGCCAGGAGTTCGAGGCCAGTCTGGGCAACATAGCAAGACCCTGTCTCTAAAAAAAAAAAATCAGCCAGGTATGCACCTATAGTTCCAACTACTTGGGAGGCTGAGGCAGGAGGATAGCTTGAGCACAGGAGTTGGAGGCTGCAGTGAGCTATGATCAGGTCACTGCACTCCAGCCTGGGCATCAGAGCAAGACTCTGTCTCTAAAACAGCTTTCTAATAATGAAAGCTGCATAGCATCATTAATATATGATGCGTGAAAGTGGTAGGGAAAAATGGTAACTGCGTTGCAATTGCAATCATGTTAAAAATATATTAAAAACTACTAGCAGGGAGGCTGAGGCAGAAGGATTGCTTGAGCCCAGGAGTTGGAGGTTGCTGTGAGCTAGGCTGACGCCACGGCACTCTAGCCCGGGCAACACAGTGAGACTCTGTCTCAAAATAAACAAACAAACAAACAAACAAAAACTACTAGCAGCTGGGAGCAGTGGTGCACATCTGTGGTCCCAGCCTAGTCAGGAGGCTGAGGCAGGGGAGGATCGCTTGAGCCCAGGAGTTTGAGGCTATAGTGTGCCATGACTGCACCTGCCATTGCACTCCAGCCTGGGCAGCATAGTGAGACCCCATGTCTAAAAACAAAAACGCCAGAAGAAAGTATGCTAAAGGTGTTATTACTACTGTTGCAGAGGAAATGACACTACAGAGAGATCAAAGTGACTTGTCACCCAGCCAGACAGCAGCAGAGCGGAGCTGCCCAGCGCTGCCTCATTGCAGTCAGCTCACCCACCCCTTGTCAGAGTGCTGGCACTGGCTCCCTTACCGGGAAGTGAAACCAGAGATCAGAGCAGGACTCGTCTGAGCTGACAGCTTTGTTCCCACTGAGTTCATGTCTCCCTCCTGGGAACAACCCCCGGCTTCTGGTCCGATGGCCATCCAACTGCAGAGTGTAAGTGAGATTGGCAACCAGACGACCTGGGCAGGGTGGAAAAGGCAGGTGATGAACGGTGGGGGGTCCCAGGCCACAGGCCTGGCTGTGGGGCAGGCAGCTTCTCTGCGGAGTGGGAGGACAGCACTGACCTTGGAACTGAGGGGTGAGAGGCTTGACCTGGAAACAGAGTGTGATGTTAACTCCTTCCTTCTTCCTGTCACTGGCTGAATAGGAGCAGTCCACTTCATGCACTGGGATCTCAGCCGGGGAGAAGGACATCCGAGTGACCACATCCACCACGGGCCGGGAGCTGCAGGGCAGAGAACAACCAAGTCTCTCCTTCGGCCTCCTCTGCTCATCCCCCGTCAGACCTGGGGCTCCCACGAGCAGAGTCCAGAGGACGCTCCTACCCTAGAGCAGACCACACGGTCACTGTCTGCTCTCAACGATACTAATGATGCCGACTAAGTAGGGTCCCCGCCAGCAGCCTGCTGACCCATGTCCACTCAGAAGAGTGAGCTCTAAGAAGAGAAATCATACCGAGCTGCTTCCATGCCTGTAACCCTTCAACGACGCTGCACGACATCGGTAAGAAAACCCGAGCTTTCTGTTGTGCTTGCCGGGCTGCCGCCTCTCCAGTCTTGTCTGCTGCTACGCGACCTCTGGGCTGACCCAGCCACACTGGCCCTCTCTCAGTCCCGTGAACACATCAAACTTTTACCTGCCTTGCGGTCTGGGCACATCCTGGGCTTCTATTAAATACATAAAAAGCTCTTACCCCGATTTCTGCAAACCTGGCTCCTTCTCATCTTTCAAGTCCCAGCTCAAATATCGCCTCCTCAGAGGGGCCTTTCTTGGCCACTCAGTCTATAGCAGGTCTCCCTTGCTGTCCTCTCTCATGGTACCCTGTTCGTTTCCTTCACTGCACTTATTGCAATTTGTAATTAACTATCTTTTGTTTATTTTTTTATTCTATGTTTCCCCACCCGTAAACTCTGTGCCTAATGCCTGGTTCAGTGTTTAAGACATAGCAGGTGATCAATAAATATCTATTCCCTACGTGATGCTATGTGATTCTTCCAACAACTCTTAAGGCATGGGTAAGGCGAGAAATGTCACCACTTCAAAGATGAGGAAACTTGGGTCCTGAGAAGCTAAGTGACTGGGGTGAGACACCTCAGAAGTAAACGGCAGATCTTCGACTTGAATCCAGGTCACCCTGTTCTAGAGACACGGCTTTACCCATCACGGGAGGTTGCTTCTCTACGAGGTTTCAGTGTCAGATAGGCCTGGGTTCACGTGCAGGTTCTGCCACTGTTTAACATGGAATATGACATGAGCCTCTATAAGAAGAGGACCTGTCACACAGAGCCAGGGTGAAGGCCACTGAGCTCATGGCTACCAAGCATTTACATGGTGCCCGCACACCTCAACTACTCACAGGACGAGAGCTAAGGTTGTTGGGAGGACTCGGGGGTCCCATCTTACCTCAGCACAACCACTTGGCCCTCAGCCCCCACAGCCACATCTGCCAGGCCATCCTCTCCAAGGTCCTTCACCCCGTGGATGGAGCGTCCAAACCACCGAATTCCTGAGGACAGCCGGGTCCCTTCTATCCGCTGAGAGCAGGAGAGAGATCATGCTGAGCTGGCGGAGGACAGGATGGAGGCCAGGAAGGGCCAGGTGGCGGAGTGGAGTCTGGGCCCGGGGTTGGGTTGGCAGGCAGAGCACCTCACCTGGCTTGGCCGGGGGCTGAGCCCACCCTGCCGCCCGTTGAAGATGTACACAGCCCCCTGCTCCTCCAGGGGGGCTCCTACAGCCACATCCGTCAGCCTGTCCCCATTGATGTCTGTCAGGGCAGCGATGGCTGCTCCAAACCGCCCCAGGGGGTAGCCGTGATCCCCTTGCAGTTCTGAGACCTCTTCGAACCCCAGCTAGGAAGGAGCAAGGAGACAAGTCACACCTTGATCACTCAGTGGGCTTTCACAGCACACGGCATTGTGAAGGACAATTTAGTGATGAACACTAAAGAAACGTAAGATAGGCCAGGCATGGTGGCTCATGCCTATAATCCCAGCACTTTGGGAGCCAGGGTGGGAGGATTGCTTGAGCCCAGGAGTTTGAGACCAGCTTGGGCAACATAGCAAGACCCTGTCTCTACAAAAAAATAAAAATTAGAAAAATTAACCAGGTGTGGTGGCACAAGCCTGTAGGCCCTGCTACTCAGGAGGTTGAGGTGGGAGGATTGCTTGAGTCCAGGAGTTCCAGGTTGCAGTGAGCTATGACCATGCCACTGCACTCCAGCCCGGGCGACAGAGTGAGACTCTGTCTCTTAAAAAAGAAAAAAAAAAAGAAATGTAAGGTGCGGTCCTCACGGACTTGGAATGGTGCTGGAAACTAAGCCGGGTTCAAGTGCCAGCTCTACCTCTTCCTGTCCATGTGCCCTGTGGCTTCGGGAAGTTATTAATACCCAGCCCCGCCGAGCCTTGGTGTTCCCATTTATAAAGTACAGATTGTAGGATCTCAGGAGATGGTTGTGAGATCAAATGAGGTCATGTCCATAAACAATCTGGCTCACACACACAAACACACACACACACACACACACACACACACACAGCCCCCACACCCCCCCCCCCACAGCCTTCCGCAGCGAGGAGTAGTTACTGTCTGTCGGTCTGTGTAGTAGTTCTAACGGTTTAATTAACCCAGGATCAGACAGGGAAAGCTTTTTAGCAAATTGGGACTGAGTAGGCCCGTGAGTCTCTATTTCTCCCCTTCCTTCCCCCTCGGCTCCATGTCCCGGCGCCCACCTGTCTTCTTTGGTAGACGAAAACCCGGCCCCCTCTCTGCTCCCCGTAGAACAGCGGGGCTCCAACCAGCAGCAGCTCCACCTCCCCATCCTGGTCCACGTCCACACCACACAGCTCCCCACCGAAATAAGAGCCAACCTGCGGGGAGAGGCAGGTGTCTGAGAAGGAGCTTGTGGGGACAGAGGGGCTGGCAGGAGCCTCCCTACCCTTCAGCCGCCCCATGTGCATCTTACTCCACTCCCTCAGGTGCAGGTTCAAACCCTGGATCCACCCTCAGAGCCTGTATGAATTAAGACAAGGTGGGCTCTTTGAGGCTCGGTTTCTGAAACTGGACAGTGGAGATGCCAAGGCTTACCTCAGAGGGTGCCGTGAGGGACAAATGGGATAGTGTTTGGCACGGGGCCTGACACAGGGACAGTGGATGACTGCTCAAAGGACAGCAGGGAGCGTGATGCATGCCATGCCAGCCCCTGGTCTGCAGATGCCCCGTGGGCGGTGCGCACCTGGATCCCGTCTATTTTCTGGACCTGGCGCCACTGACCGCTGTCCTTTGGCTCTTGGAACAGCAGCACTCGACCCACATGCTGATATCGGGGGGCTCCTGCTGCCAGCAGCCGTGTGTTCCCCTGGGAGGGCAGCCAGGTCACCGTGTAACCTGAGGGGACAGAGTCAGGGGACTGGAGTTAGAAACACAAAGGATGCTGGAAGAAGGTGACACCCAGAGGGAAAGGTGCGGAAGGCCTGGGAAACTGGGTTACTAACAAAGACGCATCAAAATAGCCAGAAGACCTGAGAAAAGCAGTCATCGCTCTGAGCAGTGCAAACAGTGCCATTTGGCCCAAGGCTGCTACGTTCCCCAGCCATGTAATCTTGATAATTCACTTTTTGCCTCTGAGCCTCAGTTTTCTAATCTAGAAAATGGGAACAGTACCAACCTCGTGGGGTGGTTTTGAAGACAAAGTAAGTCCATGGATATAAAACGCTTAGGACTATGCCGGTGATGGCTGAATTAAGATCTAAAGGAGAGCAGCATAGTAGACATCTAAGATTATATTTATCTCTCTATATACATATATATCCACACATATGTATATATTATGTGTGTGTGTACAGTGGAGTGGGGGCCTAACTAGAGATTAAACTTTAGAGTTATTTCCTCTTCTTCAGTGAGCAAAGTACACCTATTTTCCAGTATACCAAAGAACAGCAAATCACCCTGAAGGCAGTAGTGTCAGTACTAAAGTATAAGCATAGTGGTTTACAGAACAGACTTTGGGGCTAGACTACCTGGGCTCTGCTACTAGTTCTGTGACCCTGGTCAAGTTATTTAAACTCTCCTTGGCCCAGTTCTTTCATTTGTAAAATAGAGATGATAAAAATACCTTCTCATAAGGTTGTTATGAGGATAAAATGAGATAAAAGATGTTAATATGTGTAAAGTATTTGGAACAGTGCCTGGAACATAATTGCTCAGTAAAGAATATCAAAAAAAGGAAAAGAGCCAGGCACAGTGGCTCACACCCATAAACCCAACAACTCAGGAGGCTGAGATGGGAGGATTGCTTGAGGCCCAGGAATTCTTTTTTTTTTGAGACAGAGTCTTGCTCTGTCACCTGGACTAGAGTGTCGTGGCATCAGCCTGGCTCACTGCAACCTCAAACTCCTGGGCTCAAGTGATCCTCCTGCCTTAGCCTCCCAAATAGCAGGGATTACAGGCACAAGCCACCACACCCAGCTAATTTTTTCTATTTTTAGTAGAGATGAGGTCTTGATCTTGCTCAGGCTGGTCTTGAACTCCTGACTTCAAGCAATTCTCCCGCCTCGGCTTCCCAGAGTGCTAGGATTACAGGAGTGAACCACCACACCTGGCCTGAGCCCAGGAATTTGATACTATCCTGGGCAACATAGTGAGACCCTATCTCTAAAAACATTTTAAAAATTAGCCAGTTGTGGTAGTGCATGCCTGTAGTCCCAACTACTCAGGAGGCTAAGGCAGGAGGATCACTTGAGCCTAGCAATTGGAGGTTACAGTGAGCTATGATCATGCTACTGCACTCCCACCTGGGTGACAGAGTGAGACCTTGTCTTTTAAAAAGGAAAGAAGAAAAACAGAAAAAAAGAGAGAAGACAATTATTACAGTAGACTCCCTTAGAAGGGTAGATGCAAGATGAATAACACCAATTTTCCTGAGGGAAAAATTAATAAGAATCTTTTGTGTTCTGAGAGTTTAACAAAAGAGTGACCCACTCCTATGCAGTGGTCACAGGTAAGTGAGGGTGGAAAGATGGTGGCTCTAGATCCATGAGAAGGTGGAACCTGGAAGCAGTCCTTGCCCAGAGCTCTTGGAACCAGGTCATATCTTGGGGCAGGCTGATTGTATGAATGTGAACTAAAAGAGCTATAACCTCAGAACACAAGGGTGAGGCCCCACTGCAGCCTGAGCCTGGCATCACCTTGGGTGAACGAACATCCACAGAACTGTGCAGGAAGAGATTCAACAGTGACACCACGCAGCAAAGAGAAGCAATAGCTATTGTGGATGGACTAAACTCATTTCCTCTATGCTTGGCATCAAAAGAACTCTCGAGACTCAATAAAACCCTAGAGTTCTTGGACAATTCAAGAGGAGGAAGCCCCAAGAAGTCCTCAAGTAGTCCTCCTACTAATGAGGCAGATTGTTCTAAAATGTACCTGGGATTTAATTTATAGGTATGACTGAATGATGACACGGAGAGGGGACTGTCATTGAAAGAAACGTATTATTCACAGCTCCCCAGAAGTGGGAGGCCACGCAGGGCCAGATGGGGAAGTGCCAGGTCAGCGAGAGGCAGGAGTGAGGGAAGAGTACAGCTCAGAGCTCTTACTGCGGTTTCCGTGGGAAGGATGGTGAGGTAGGGTAGGCGAGTTTAGGACTGCACAGTTTGAATAATTTTGGCAGGCTCTGGGCTATGATGGTGGTCTCTAGTTGGCTGGCACCTGGGCCTGGACTGATTTAGGACAGAAGAAATAATAGCTTGGTATGTAAGAGTTGGATAAAGGAGGTGGTTGGAGACACAGGCTCCTGATTGGGGGTTCGCATATAAAAGGGGTGTTCACAGGCAAGTTGTTCACTGTCTCTAGGAATTAGCTAGCCCTGGGAGGGGCAGTCTCTCCAGGATTAGCAAGTCCCCAAGATGTCAAAGCATCAGAAAATACAGAAAATAAAAAACATGATTAATACACGGATGAGGGGATATTAAGAGAAAAATTAAGAACGTTGTAACTGGACTTGAACTCTGAGTTTGTTCATGCTGGTAGCTTAATTGCTTTCATTATTATTTTAAAAGCCAGACTGAGAGACCCTCTGGCCCCTGAAACCAGAAGAAACCCAGCAGAAAAGAGAAGTACTCACCCAAATATCCCGCTCTCACTTCTGGTGTCAATGGTTGGTTCCCAACAAATGTGTCACCCTGCAGGTCTGCCTTCAGGTCTAGGAAGCCCCCAGCCCAGTCCTTGGCTCCAACTGCCCCCACGACTGCACGGCCCTGCCCAGGGAAGGAGATGAGTGGGGTCGGCTGCCTTCCAGGAGCCAGCTGTGTCCCCGTGCCACCCCACTGTCCGTGGCTTTAGGCCCACGACGCACCCTGCTGAGGTCGGCGCTGATCCCACTGGAGGACAGCTCCATGTTGAAAGAGGTCAGATCCTGTTTGCTTGTGCCTGGGGGACAAAGCAGAGGAGGACGGGCAAGACTGACGAAGCAGTAAAAACAGTGACCCTCATGGAAGGACGGAGGAGGAAGAGCAGCATCTGTCTCTGCACGTTAGAGCCAGACGGACCGGGAAGGGGCTTAAGGCTCAAAGTCGGCTTTCAGGACTTGGACCTCCAGTCACTCCCCCTCGGCAGGCCCAAGATGCAGCTCTTGGTTTCTGCTCCTACTCGGGCCTCTTGCTTCAGTGGATGGCGCCCCACCCTGCTAAGGAGCCACGCTAGGAACCAGAACCCACTGGAGTCCTCCCTCTCCCCGTCCTGTCTCCAACACATCAATCGCCAAATCACTGAGTCTACCTTCAAAATACACTGTCCCCTTCCCTGAATGAGTGGTTCTGCCACCACGCAGATCAAGCCATCTCATCCCTGGCCCAACCCGTGCGAAAGCTCACTAATGTGGTCTCTGGCTCCATTCTTCCCAGCTTCGTTTCCACAGAGCAAGTCTTTCTAAAAACCACGTATCGGACCGTAGCTTTCCCTCTCCTCAAAAGCCTTCGTGCCTTCCCAGTGCTCTTGACACTAAAATCCAAATTCTTCTCAAGGGCCTGGAAGGCCCCGCCTCCCGCCAATGTTCCCTCTCCTCAGACCACTCTCCGGTCACTCTGACCTTTTCTTCTGTTCCCCCAACATGCCAAGCCCGTTCCCCTTGCCCGGCCTCTGCACTTGTGCTTCTCTCGGACTGGAATGTTCTCTGCCCACATTCCACATTCCTCCCATGGCTGGCTCAGTCTCATGTTTCACGTCTCAGCTCAAAAGCCACTTCAGAGTGAATTTAATTGTCTTTAATTATCATGTTTGTTTATTTGTTTACTGTCTTTCCTTATTCATCTCGAACACGAGCGCCATCTTCGCAGCATCCCTGAGTGTCTGATTCACAGTGAATCGATAAAATGAAAATAATATCACCAGCCTTGCAGGAATGCTGAGAGAAATGAATGAAATAATGGGAAGTGCCTGTTACATGTATGTTTTCAAGAAACATAGCAATTTATTATGATGATCAGTTCACTCATTGAATAAAGATGTAGAGTAACCAAGTATCTGGTGCCAGGGCTCACCATGGCGGACCTCATGGCTTAGTGTGGGGCATGGATACTGAACGGATAATAGAATACAATGTATGCCACAGGACTGTGACAGGGAGCACACAGTGGTGACAGCAACACACGGGAAAGAGCACCTAACCCAGGCTTGAGGCATCAGCTAGAATTTATACAGAGAAAGTGACATCTAAAGATTTCTAGCTTCCAGACATTGAGACAATACATTTCTGTTACTTTAAGTCACCTAGTTTTTAGCATTTTGTTACAGCAAACTCAGTTAAATCTTACACATCTCTGTTAAACTGGTGTTATTATCCCATTTAACAGGGAACAATAAGCCTCAGAGAGGGAAGTGACCTGGCCGAGGTCACACAGCAAGTAAGAGGCAGAGTGGATTCTTGGGCAGGTCCGCCTGGTTCGATCATACATGTCACACTGCTTCTTCCACTGAACTGGACACCAAGGCTGTGTCCTAGCGAAGGGGCCTTCCCTGTGGAAATTATGTATCTTTTAGCAGACTAAGCTTCCTTGGGGAAATACCCTCCCATAGCCAGTCCTCGGGTGACCACAGTAAAAACTTCCTCTTATTCTAGGCCAAGAAAGAGGGCCTGTGGCCCCAGCCAGCCTGCCCATCTTAAGAAATGTGGAGCCTAGGAGAAGTGAAAATGAGAGTCAAACAAGAAGAGAAAGGAATTACTATCAATCTGCAGGGCTCGGATGACACCAGCAAGACATAATAGGTCAGTTCTAGGCCCCACCCGGGATCAAGCTGAGCTCCAAGAGGAAGATGGAATTTCAGAGGAAATATCAGAGGCTGCTCCTAAATTCCTACAAGAGGTTTTTGGTTTAGCACTTACTCAGTAAGTGCTTGTTGTTATTATTCAGCGTGTCTCTAATCTGATGTCCTGGGTGAATTTCTGCATAAGGCCTCCCAAACTCTCTCCCAGGGTCTGTCACTCACCTTCAATGACATAGATCTTCTTCTGTAGCTCAGTGAATAGATCTTTAAGCTTCTCAAATGTGTCCAGAATCTTTACAAACTCTTCTATGGGTTTGGAGGCAAATTTGTGGAGTGTCTCCTGACTTTCCTTGGTCCTAAAATGCCTCCCAATCTGTGAGGGAGTGAAGAGTGAAGAACTGGCATCCCCAAAATCTCAGACCAGTTTTTGATTATCTTCACAAGAGTCTGGCCCCACAGAGGAAGGGGACTGGGGTCCAGGAATAGGAGAGGGAAGACGAGGCATAAGAAGCGGCTGAGGTCTAGGGCCCATACCCCGATGACGTAGCGGATGATGTCTTTGGCTGCGTCAATGTTGCCACTGTCAGTGGCCTCCCCATCAGTGATGATGATGAGCACTTTGGTGGCATCTGGCCGGGCCCCCAGCTCTTGCCGGAACACCTGTGTCCTGTGTCCAGGAAAGGGGGATGTGAGAGTCTCTTCCCAAACCATAGCCTCAGGTCTCCCCACCCTACTGGTTTAGTCACTGCCCTGCCGATTAAGCAAAAGCCCTCCTTGCATCTCCCGGACAGGTGTTCCAAGCCTTTGGCGGTCTCCTCTGAACCCTCCATCCCACCCTTGCTGCCTCCCTCACCCTCTGGACCAGTGGTCTTCACACCATATCCTGGGCAGCTTGGAGGGTGTCCCAGAACCCATGGGCTGAGAGGGGGAGGTTTTGTGACGGGTGACTCTGGGCTTCCCCCCCTCCATTGCAATCATATGGCAACCACCCTTCAACCAGCTACAGATGTTGATCTAGGTGAGATTTGAATGGGAATAAAGGGTTTCACAGCTAAAGAAAACTGGGAAGTTGCTCTTCCAGAGCAAGCTCACACAGCACCTCCTCTGCTTTCCCAACCACCCCTAGGCTGCCCATAGATCTCTACTACAGCATTTAACCGAGTGAATTACAGTGACTTGTTTCTGTGTCAATTTCCCCTACACACCATGAGGAAAGGACCATGTTTGATTTGCTGCTACATCTCCGGCTCCCGGCACAGCGTAGGTACTCAGTGCACGTGAGATGAAAAAAGGGAGAACTGAATACCAGACAGGCCACAGCCGCCTTCTGGGCAAGCCGGGTTGGCCACAGCTCTCACTGGAACAGCAGCTCCATGTCAACCACCCAACCCATGCGTGCTTGATGTCAAGACCTCTGGTTCGATTCTGGATGCAAAATGTTTCTCCAATCTCCATCCACACAGACACGGGCCTATCGCGCGTCCTCTTCATGGATTTCCACCCTGGTTCAAACCACTGTCGCCTCCCACCTGGATTTTTCAGTAGCCTCCTAACTGGCCTTGCTGCTTCCATCCTTACCCTCTCTACTGTCTAATGTCAACCCTGCAGCCAGAAGGGTCTTTTTAGACACATAAATCAGATCGTCACCCCTCTGCTGAAAACCTCCAGTGACTGCTCATCTTACTCAGAAGAAAAGCCAAAATTCCCGCTATGGCCTCCAAGTCCCTAACTCATACAGACTCCAGTATCCCTCTGACCTCATCTCCTGCTGTACCCCCTCACTTATTCCCCTCCAGCCACACTGGCATCCTGGCTTCTCTCCAATGTCCCAAGCACATCCTTGGCTCAGGGCCTGGGCTGTTGTCTGCCTGGAATGGTCACGTCCCCATTGCCTCCTCGCCTCCAAGTCTCTGCTCAGATGTAACCTTCCCTGATCTTCCTGCTGAATACTGCTTTGTTTTTCTTTATGAAACTTACATCTTTGGCTGCATTATTTAATTTACTTATTGATCCTGTTTATTGTATTTCTCTCCCCTACTGAAATGTTAAGCTCTGAGCAAGCAGATGTTTTTCTTTGTTTCATTCACTGCTACATTCCCAGGACCTAGAACATAGCAGACCATAACCTGCAGGCCAAATCCAGCCTGTGGCTTATTTTTGTATAGTCCATGAGCTAAGAATGGTTTTTATATTTTTAAAGGATTATAAAATCAAACAAAGAATATGCAACAGAAACCATATGTAGCCAGAAAAGCCTAAAATATTTACTATCTGATCCTTTATAGAAAAGAGTTGCTGACTCCTGACCTAGAACACTGCCTGGCACAAAGTAGGTGGGCAAGAAGTATTATGACAAATATTTGCACGACTGCTTCTTTTTGCTCCCACAATTGACACCTTTTAGGGTGTCTTCTCATCCTGCGGTGACCCCTTTCTCTAAGAACTTAGAGAAGAACATTTTCTAAGACCCCTTCCCACAGAGGTGGGACCCTGGAATCCATATTCATGCCACGTGACCTAATGCCATGAAGTAGACCCAGGCCATAGCTGAGTGGATCTCTGGACACCTAATCCAGGCTCAGACAATAAGATTTTTCTCTCATGGAAACTGGAATTCAGGTTGTTCATATGAATCAGGAAAGTGAGGCCGCCATTTTTTGAGTGGATGTGGCTTGACTGCATACCACCAAAGCTACCTACAGAGAGAGAATGAAGTGGGCATGACAGACCCAGTCAGCCCCAGAAGGAAAGAGTTGGACACACACACACACACACACACACACACACACAAACACACAAGAAGTCTTGAAGAGTGCATCACATGTTCCTTTACCTTATGCAAATTCAACTACTCATGCTTGGCAAAGAAAAGAAAACAAGAAAAATACGTGAAAGAGCACAGGAGATCCGTCCTGCTATTTCATTCAATTTGAGGGTATGCCCAGAGGGGCACATGAAATAGATCTAAATTCTCTTATTCCCCACACTGGTCTCAGTTCCGATGGCGACTCTAATCTTTTAAGGTAGGTATTTCTAAAATATACAATATGAGGCTGGGCACAGTGGCTCACGCCTGTAATCCTAGCATTCTGGGAGCCCGAGGCGGGAGGATCGCTTGAGTTCAGGAGTTCGAGACCAGCCTGAGCAAGAGCAAGACCCATCTCTACTAAAAATAGAAAAAATTAGCTGGGCATGATAGCACCCGCCTGTAGTCCCAGCTACTCTGGAGGCTGAGGCAGGAGGATTGCTTGAGTCCAGGAGTTTGAGGTTGCAGTGAGCTAGGCTGATGCCACGGCACTCTAGCCAGGGCAACAAGGTGAGACTCTGTCTCAAAAAATAAAATAAAATAAAATGTACAATACGGCTCGTCAACACAATCTAACAACTTTCATCTAGGCCTCAACTTAAACACAGCAATCTGGTCAAACTCTGGGGAAAAAAAATTCTGTATTGGATTTAGGAAATCAGGATACTGTAGTTTCCAATGTGGGACTTGAATATATTGAATTTCTTGAATAATTCAAGGAATTATTCAAAGATAACTTTGACTATTTGAGATTTTTATTTATGTGCTGAGTTCAAAACCTGATCCCCTTCTAAGATGTGACTCCATTGTGCCTGCCACGGTTCACGATCACTTTCCAAGTCCTGGTTCTAGTTCCTCATGAGGCCTGGCAATACTTCCTGTCCCAGGAGTTCATGAGCCATCCCTGCATCCTCTCAAGATTTTCCTTTTGGATTTAGTTAGTATAGAATAGATTTCTGTTACTTACAGCAAGAACAGCCTGGACTGAAATTCCTTCCCTTGAATTCATATGATAAACCACCCCTTGCTGTACCTACCTATTGAGTTTCTATACCCAGAAACTGGAGGAAGCTCACACAGAGCAAACGATTGGATGTGCTCTCCTGCAAAGGGGACTCACGCAACATAGTTGATGGCACCAAAGGTGTTGGTCAACAGGAGCATGTGTTTTACGTTGGCTAGCAGAACATCAGGGTCCTTCGTTTTAACATAATCTAAGAAATTAAACTCCGTTTCGTAGGTCGAGGAAAACTGAACTGCAGCAAACTAGAAAAGGAAGGAAGAAATGACATGTAGTTACACATTCCCTCCTGCTTGTCTGAGTTAATCTCTACTTCTCATGCAGGACACGGGCAACCAGACTCCACATCCCTGCCTCAGATCATTCTTTTGAAAATGAGGCAATATACAAGTAAACACAGAAACAAAATGAAATAGGCCAGGCGCGGTGGCTCATGCCTGTAATCCTAGCACTCTGGGAGGCCGAGGCAGGTGGATCGCTCAAGGTCAGGAGTTCAAGACCAGCCTGAGCAAGAGCGAGACCCCGTCTCTACTAAAAAAATAGAAAGAAATGATCTGGACAACTAAAAATATATACATATATAAAAATTAGCAGGGCATGGTGGCTCATGCCTGCAGTCCCAGTTACTTGGGAGGCTGAGGCAGGAGGATCGCTTGAGCGCAGGAGTCTGAGGTTGCTGTGAGCTAGGCTGACGCCATGGCACTCTAGCCCGGGCAACAGAGCAAGACTCTGTCTCAAAAAAAAAAAAAAAAGAAATAAAATGAAATAAACCTATGCTTCTTCCTGTTGTGATGTCTGCTGAATTCCTGTTCTCCGGGCCTGCCTATCTCACAGTAGGGACGGCCTCCCAGCAGCCACATTTCTGCTGAGTGACCCACTAGACTGGTTGCAGTCAGCTGGGCAACGGATGGCCACCCGACTGAGGTAGGTCAGTCAGAATCTCTTCCCTGAGAAATTGGAATTTGCAGAGGGAGGGCTTAGTTGAGAGGAAGGTAAAAAAAAAAACCCTCCTGGAACTTTAGCATATGAACTTAGGAGCTTTACACGGGCCCCTATAATCCAAAGATGCTAAGGGAGCCTGTCTACAGAGAAAGCAAGAAAAGAAGGAAGCAAAGGCATAAAAAGAAACAGAAACGAGAACTAGAGAGAATCCTAGATGCTTTACACTCCCTGGCTCTTGTCCCTCCCAGAGGTCTAGCTACAGCCAAGCCCATAGGTTCTGGCGATACTGCATACTAAATTTTCCTTTGATGGCTCAAGCAAGTTCAGGCAGGCATCCAGTGTCTGTAACCAAGAACCCCGACATATTTACCTGGTAGGAAGTATTGCTGAGTTTCCTCATCACATCCTTCATGAAGTCCAGGATTTTCTGGAATTCATCTGTCCGCAAGCTCCCCGAGCCATCAAACAGAAATACAAGGTCTACATTGCCCTTTATACATTCTGCAGAGGCCAGAGACAAAGGGACCTGGTGAAGTGTCCCCAGTGTTTGGTCCCATGTAGGGGCAGCCGCTGGAGGTATTTTTGCCCACTGAGTCCCCAGTTCCTTACCCTGATAACCAGGGCGCCCTTGCAGCACAGGATCCTGTAGATTCTGGTGGAAAAGGTAACACAAGCCACTCAGGTAGGTGTTCTGGTCACATGTCCGAGACAGCCCAGGGTCGCAGGCCTAAAGGAAGCAAAGGCGTTGCTATGTGTCTTTTAAGGCAACATCAGCCAAGAAGAACCCTGAGAGTCCTTGTCCCCCTCCCACCCTCCCTCCATTCAACTGGTTACCAAGGCAAGCTGACACTGCCTCCACGAGTTTCCCACAGCCATTTCTCCATTGCTACCAATGCTCTGTGCCAATGGACACGCGCTGTCTACAGGATGAAGTCCAAGCTCCTTACTTGGCATTCATATTGTTTATAGTTTAGCACTATCCAACACTTTCAGGCCCATTCTCTCCCATTTCCAGTCTCACATTCTGTGTTTAGGCTAAATCAAATACGATTCCCAGAATGTACGATGCCGTTTCTTTCATTTATGACTATCTTTCCTGCCACACTGCAATTTTGAAAATCAGGGCTCCTGTCGTGGTCACCTTTGTCTCTCCCTCCCTGCCCCCCATCAGAACCTAGCACAATGCCTGGTATGTAATGGTAGCTAAATAAATAAGCTCCAATTAAATATTGGGTCAATATTTCACTCAGCCTTGTCTCTCACACAGAATGATGCTGGCTGGGATACATTGGAGAGAGTAATGAACTTGGAATCAAATGAGAATTTGATTCAAATCCTGGCTCTACCACTTTGCAACCATGTGACCTTGGCCAAGTCTCTTAACCTTTTTGGTCCTGTTTTCTCATCGTGGAATGTGTATACTGATCCCCATCTCACCTGTGTGTCTTGAGGGTTAAAAGAAGGTAGTGTTTCCCAAACTTTAAGCATTTGTGTAATAGTTCACAATTTCTGCCATTTGAGCATACTATCATTTACTTAATATTTTCCTTTAAATTTATTTTTTCTTAATTTTAGCCTCTTCCTAAGCAATAAGATCCAGGAAATAATGAATATCATGTGCTTTTTTTCTATTAATAATAAGCCAATAAATAAATATATAACTAGTAAAACATTAGAAGTTTGTATACCACCAAAAATCATATTGTCTTTCAATGGTTGTAGATATTTCATATTTGGAAAGAACCCGAGGTAAGTAAGGGCTTGAAAATAGCTGGCTCATAGTTGGTTCTCAGTAAACACTGATCGAATCTGAGTTTCTCTGATGCTTTTGACCTTCTATGGGATCCTTTACCCAGGTTCTTTCCTCCTCTTTTCAATCTCTTGTTCCTAGCATTGAGCTTCACAGGCTCTGATATCGCCATTCCACAAAATTCTTACCAAAATGCTTCCACCTGTGGGGTCTGTTGCCAAGGTCATTCCCAAGTACTTGGAGGTATAGTTGGAACCTGTAGGCACCAAAAGTTTGGTCTAGAGGGACTTAGGCAATCCAGGCTTGTTGGGGCCTGCCTCAGTTTCCCCAGAGACCCCATTCTTCCCATTTCCCTAGCCGGTTACTCACCACTCGGGCTGACTGGTAGGCAGTGTCCAGTGCCTGACTGGCACTCATAGAGGTTTCCTGTGCTGTTCCCCTCACCTGGAGCTCCCACGACAACCCTGATGAGAAATCTCACCTGTGAGATGTAGTTGCCCAGGTCTTCACCCACCCACTGTTGCCTATTAAGGAGGTTCAGATGCCCCACCAAGAATCTCAAAACAACGCAGTCATTCCCCTTCAGGAAGGTTCCTCAGCCCCCACCTCTTCCCTATGGAATCCCAGAGAAATAATTCCTTATGCCAGAATTCTAGAAAGTTGAGGAGCCTTTCCATTTACAGTCTAGAAACACTGAGGCCCAGAGAGTAATCCACCAGAATGTCACATTACAAGCTCATTCTGTCAGTCCTCAATTCAAAATTCCTTTATGGCTTACTTTGTGGTAGTGTCCAAGTGTGTTGGGGCTGTGATGTTTCCCCTATTAGGCATGTGCGTGGTGCCCTAATGATCGGCCTCATCCTACTCTTTGATGGCCTTGCTCTTGTCTGGCCAGAATTCCCTGCGACAGACTCCTCCAGACGGGGATGTCCTGGAGACCCGCCCCAGCTCATTGACCGGCCCACCTGGGGTGGGTGAGCCCTGGCCGCATGGGCAGCCCTGGGGGGCACCAGGAGGGAGGCCTGTGGACGGAGGTTGGGGGGCTGGCAGCTCACCCGTTTCCGACCTGCAGGACGCGGTACCCAAAGTGCCTCCCGGCTGGCGCGAAGGAGAAGCTCTGCACATGCCGCACGTCCAGGTTGTAGCTCCAGGCGGGCGCTGAGGGAGGCCAGCGCTGTCAGCTGCTTCCGAGGGACCGCACGTGCCCGGCAGGCGGCTGACCCTGGCCCCCTTGCCCTTCCGCAGGCCGCCCACACCCCCTGGACTTCCCCTCCAGGGCCTTGACTCTGGGGACATGGAAACAGCCACTCCCTGCCACCCAGAGCGCTGAGAGCTTTTCACAGGGCCTGAGAAGGACACACTTCCCATTCGGACAAAGAAGGAAGAATGAGAAGGCGGAGGCGGTGAGAGAGGAGGCCCTGGGGGCCCCGGGGGCGTAGGGTGGCCAAGTTCCCAGGCAGAGGCCAAGATGGGGATGCCCCGGGACAGGAGGGCAGGATGTGCCTGCCCACACACAGCTTCTCCTGTGGGCATGGGCCTGGGCGCCCCACAACTCAGATGCTGGGCCTTGGGGGGAGGGCTTCCTCCCGCAGACGTGGGGATTCTGGATGCCCTGATCCTGGGAGGCGGCCTCCGCGCTCCCCACCCCTCCAGGGCCCAGCTCTCCCTGAGCCCCTCTGTGTGGCCGCACCTCAGGCAGCCTGCCTAGGGCACATGCCACACTGTCCCTTCCTGCCCTGCTTTCCTCCGGCACCAGGTTTAGTCGGCAGCATCCTAGGATGTCAGGGGTGCTTGTGCCTTCATTTGTCAAGATGAAGGGACTGACGAGGCAGGGAAGGGGGAAGGACTTGCCTAAGACCACACAGACAGGTGGTACCATGGGTGGCGCCAGAACCCAGCATTTTCCTCCCAGCTCCAGGTGCCCATTAGCCGGCTGCCTTTTTAAAGAACACCCCCCCTCCGCCCCCACTTTGCGCTACCTCCTCTCCCTTCTCTGTCTTTTCCTCGCACCTTGCCTGCGCCTGCGCCGGTGGCTCTGGCTGGCTGGCTGGCTGGCTTTTCTCTTCCCCCTCTCCCTCCAGGATTCCCTAATACCTATGGCCATTCCCGCCCTGTCCGCAGTTCCTTGTTTACTCCAGCCCCGAAGTTCCCTGGTCACAGACACGTGCGCCTCCCCTGCCCCTCCCCTGCCCCTCCCTTGCTCACCGGAAAGAACAGTCCCATACAGCAGCAGTGTGTTCAGGATGATGCAGGAATTCATCTTCCCAGCGCCGGGGGGACCTGAGGACCAGGCTCAGTCTCAGCTGGCCCTTGGGATTTGCTGGCAACCCAGACAGGGTGAAAGAGGGAAATGATGATGCCTTGGGGCCTCCTGCAGTGGAACTTTCTCACAGAGGCGCCAGGCTGGTGACACTGGGTGGGGGGGGTGCTGTGCCTGTGGGGGTTGTGAAACCGCATGGGTTCAGAGAGGAAGTGTAAGCAGGTTAGAGACACTTCCTGTGCCTACTTGTATTTTCACCTCATCCAAGAGCAGACAGCATGGTGACGAGATGACAGCTTCTGCTCAAGAGCTGCTGCATGGGTCTCTCACTAACACACCAAAGACTCTCTAAAGCTCAGCAGAGGACCACTCAAACGAACTGTGGTAAAACTGTGATGGAATGCTATGCAGGCATGAAAAAGAATGAGGGGTGGGGGAATAAGATAGGGGGAAAAAATGAGGTAGCTTTCTCTTGACATTGAAAGATGCCCGTGATATGCTGTTAAAGAAAAAGAGCAAGTTACAGAACGGTGTCTTTAGTAACTAATTTTAGTTCTAAAAAATAAAATCCAGGCTGAGCACGGTGGCTCATGCCTATAGTCCCAACACTTTGGGAGGCTGAGGTGGGAGGATCACTTGAGCCCAGGAGTTCAAGGCTACAGTGAGCGATGATCCCACCATTACCCTCTAGCCTGGGTGATAGAGTGAGATCCTGTCTCTAAAAATAAATAAATAAATAAAATTCTTTCTCACAAAGAATGGGAGAAAATATTTGCAAATCATATATCTGATATGGGGCCAGTCATGGTGGCTCACGCCTGTAATCCTAGCACTCTGGGACGATTGCTTGAGGTCAGGAGTTCAAGACCAGACTGCGCAAGAGCGAGACCCCGTCTCTACTAAAAATAGAAAAAAAAAATTAGCCGGGCAACTAAAATTATAAATCATTAACTGGGCATGGTGGCGTGTACCTTTAGTCCCAGCTACTTGGGAGGCTGAGGCAGGAGGATCGCTTGAGCCCAGGAGTTTGAGGTTGCTGTGAGCTAGGCTGATGCCACAGCACTCTAGCCCAGGCAACAGAGTGAGACTCTGTCTCAAAAGAAAGAAAATTCTGATAAGGGATTTGTATCCGGAATATATAAAGAGCTCTTATAACTCAGCAATAAAAAGACAACCTAATTTTTTAAATGAACCAAGGGTTTGAATAGACATTTCTCTAAAGCGTATATGTAAATGGCCAACAAGCACTCCAAATAATGTTCAACATCATTAGTCATTAGACAAATGCAAATCAAAACCACAATGAGATACCTTTCACATCTACTAGGATGGCTAAAATTTAAGGAAAAAAAGAGAAAAGAGTGTTGGTGAGGATGTGGAGAAATTAGAACTGTCAATGGAAAAAAAGCCAAACTCTGTAAAATAATCTTAAAGAGATTTACTCTGAGCCAAATTTGAGGACCATGACCCGGAGCCACGCTCAAGAAGTCTTGAGCAAGTGGACTCACTGTGGCTGGGTTACAGTTTGGTTTTATACGTTTCAGGGAGACAGGGGTTACAGGTAAAGTCATAAATCAATACGTGGCAGGCCTACATTGGTTTGGCCCAAAAAGGTGGGCCTTCTCGAAGGAGGAGGGGCAGGGGGCTTACAGGTTATAGGTCAGTTTAAAGATTCTTTGACTTGTAATTAGTTAAAGACATGAAGCTTTGTCCAAAGGCTTGGAATGTTTTAAGATAAGGAGCTGTTTATCAGAGACAAGCCATTGGACATATATTTGTTGTGTAAATTAAGGACCTACAGTTTGTCTTGCATAACTTCAGGCCTGTTAATGGGTTACAAAGGATGTCCCCAAGAACAGAGGGGGGCGTGATGAGGCATGTCTGAACTCCCTCCTGGTAGCAGGCAATTTGGTTTCAGGATATCCCCTTGGCTGAGAGGGGGTCCATTCAGTCAGCCCGTGTGGAATGAGCCTTAAGATTTTATTTTAGTTCACAGAACCCTGGTCCATTGCTGGTGGGAATGAAACACGGGGCAGCTACCATGGAAAACATTTTGATAGTTCTTCAAAAAAGTTAAACACAGAGTTACCATATGACCCAGCAATTCTTCTCCTAGGTATATACCCAAAAGAATTGAAAACATGTTCATACAAAAACTTATGAATGAATGCTCACAGCATTACCCGTACTAGCCCCAAACTGGGGACAACCTACATGTCCATCAGCTGACGAATGGATAAGCAAAATGTGGCATATCCATACAACATAGTATTATTCCCCATAAAAAAGAACGGAGTATGGTACCTGCCTCACTGTGGATAAATCTTGCAAACACGGTCAGTGAAGGAAATGAGGCACAGAGGCCGCATGTGGTATGATTCCATTAAGCTAAATGTCCAGACTAGGCAAATCTATAGAGACAGAAAATAGATCAGTGGTTGCCAAGGAGAAGGAAATGAAGACTGGGTTGTGCCTACTAATGGGTATAAGGTTTCTTTTTGGGGTGATGAAATGTTCTGGAAATAGACAGTGGTGGTGATTGCACAACTTCATGAATATATTAAAAACCACTGAATTGTATGCTTTAAAATGGTGAGTTTTACGGTTATGTGAATTATATCTCAATAAAAAATAAAAAATGAAATTATATGTGTGTATGTGTCTATAAAGAAAATCTGAAAGGGTGTACAACCAAACTACACAGTGGTTACCTCTGCAGAACGGGGTTTTTACATTTCTGTCTAAATTTTTTTTACAATGAGGATGTATACCTTTACCACTTAAAAAATAGAATGGCCTTGAAAAACATAAAAAGAGTAGAAACACAACAGAATAAAGAGACTGTATTTGTTTATGGGAGATTGGGAAGGATCTTCAGGTTCTCCCTGTGCTATGAGGAAATGCCGCTCAACCTGGAAGGTACTTCCAGTGTCGCTGCCCTGGGGAAGGCTGTTGCAGACAGAGTATCTATAATCTCTATTGCCACGCAGCTACCACAGGACAAACTGGCGCATGGTAATTAGGTGATGTCAGACACTCTTTTTCAAATTCAGTTAAAAATCAGATAATTCAGGCCATTTCTTTGATCCTCTATAGAGCAGTTCCAACTTACATCTAACCAAATTCTTTTGTTTTGTTCTGAAATTACAAAAAGAATATATATTCTTTTGTTTGTTTGTTTTTGTTTTTTTTTTTTTGAGACAGAGTCTGGCTCTGTTGCCCTGGCTAGAGTGCCGTGGCTCAGCCTAGCTCACAGCAACCTCAAACTCCTGGGCTCAAGCGATCCTCCTGCCTCTGCCTCCTGAGTAGCTGGGACTACAGGCATGCGCCACCATGCCCGGCTAATTTTTTGTATATATTTTTAGTAGTCCGATTAATTTCTTTCTATTTTTTGGTAGAGACGGGGTCTCACTCTTGCTCACGCTGGTCTAGAACTCCTGACCTTGAGCGATCCACCTGCCTCAGCCTCCCAGAGTGCTAGGATTACAGGCGTGAGCCACGGCGCCCGGCCAAGAATATACATTCTTAAATTCAAACGCTACAGAAGTGTATAAAGAAAAAGGATAAAAACTTCTTTAACATCCACCCCCATTCCTAAATCCCAAGAGTAATCATTGTTAACAATTGGAACCATACATTCTTCTTGAAAAAAATTTAGTTCTACTAGTTAACCATACAGGTTTGACTTGTTTGGATAACCTACAATTATCTCACCACAAAACATCTAACCCAGAATTAATAGTCAAATCAATCATCCCCAGTGTGAAGATTTGCCTTTAGGCCATCTTCAAGATTTAGATACTTCAATTGGGGATTAAGTTTCAGCAGACAAGTTTTTATTCTGGTTTCAGATTTAAAAACACAAAAGAATAATACTGCCTCGGTCTCTTTGGGCTGCTACAACAAAATACCTTAGAGTGGGTAATTTGTAAAGAACAGAAATTTATTTCTTACAGTTCTGGAGGCTGGAAAGTCCAAGACCAAGGTGCTGCCAGAGTCAGTGTCTGATGAAGGCTCTGTCTGTTGCAAAGGTGGCATCTTCTCACTATGTCCTCCGAAAGGTCCCACCTCTAAATACATTGCATTGCATTGGGGATTGTTTCAATATGAATTTTGGACGGACACAAATATTCAAATCACAGCATTTGGCCCCTGAACCCCCAAATTCATGTTCTTCTTACTTACAAAACACATTCATTCCCAATAGCCCCCAAAGTCTTAATTAGATCCGGCATCAACTTTAAAATCTAAGTCCAAAGTCTCATCTAAGTATCATCTAAATCAGATTTGGGTTTGACTCGAGGTGTGATTCATCCTGAGGCAAATTCCTCCTCCAGTTGTGAGCCTGTGAAATCAGACAACTTACGTGCTTCCAAAATACAGTGGTGAGATTGGCATAGGATACACGTTCCCATTTCAAAAAGGAGAAATGGGAAAGAAGAAAGGGACAACAGGTTCTGACCAAATCCAACAGGACAAACATTAAATTTTAAGACTCCAGGATAATCTTCTTTGACTCCATGTTCCACCCTTCAGACACACTGAGGCTTGGGTTGGGCCCCAGGGCTTTGCTGGGTGCAGCCAACACAACAGCTTTCATGTGTTGAAGTCATATGTATGTCTGCAGCTCTCCCAGGCTGGAGTTAAACAGTGTGGCTCTACGGGTCTGGGGTCTCAGGAGTGACCCCACCCCCACAACTCCACTAGGCATTGCGCTTGAGGGGTTCTCTTCGGTGCCCCACCTCTATAACTCTGCTGGGCATCGCCCTAGTGGGGCCTCTGCAATGGTCCAGCCCCTGGGGTCAGTTCTCTGCCTGGACCCTGAGGCTGTCTGGGGCATCCTTGAAATGTAGGTGGAGGTAGCCATACCCTCCCAGCTCGTGCACTCCCATACCCATGCAGATGGCACTGTGCAGATGCTGCCGCTTTATAACAAGGCCTTTTCTCCAGTTTCCAATAATATATTTCCTCATTTCTATCTGAGACCTTATCCAAATGGCCTTTACTGCCCATTTTTCTACCCACATTCAGATGGTAACCACGTAAGTGATCTCTAAGCAGTCTGGCTCTCTCTACAGCCCTCCTCTTCTTCTGAGCTCCCACCAGGATTGCCCTTAAGGCTCCTTCTGTGGCAATCCCTCATAACTCTCCCAGCCTCTGCCCG